CGAGCTGGCTCAAGGATTTGCTGGCTTTGTCTTTTCCAGGCGCCGCTGTGAGGAACTTGAGGGTCACGATTGTTTAGCACTAGCTTGGCTTTCCAGGCGCTTAGAGAGCTTTGGTGCGCCAAGAGCTGAGAGACTTTTTGTTTCTTTGGCGCGCTCTCCATGTAGTGTGCTGTCCTGTCCTGTCTATGAATTTGTTTTGTTTATGCATTTGTTTTGTCTATGCATTTGTTGGATTTTGTTGGAAAGTGCGACCTAAGAAAACAATCGTGGGTTACATGGGTTCGTTGTTTGCTGGACAGAGCCAACCTGATATAGGTTGCAGCCTTTGAATTCCAAAAAAATGGCGGGCTACCGCCTGCTATGTGGGCACTATATGCAAAAGACATGTAGTACGTGAGCACTTACTTATATGTACCTTTACACCTGAACACACCCCACAGTTGGTCCATCCTAAGTAGATAATACAACATCACTGATTGGATAGACAAACACGGCGGGCAACCACCTTGTTTTTCACTTAGCGCACCACAGAGTTAATTAATCCTATAAGTGGGCCCTCACCTCAGAGAGTAGTTGTTGAACAGGCCATAGCACATCGAAGAATGCCTTGTTCTCGTGCACCCTGAAGAATTGCTGCACCGTCCCCAAGTAGCCCACGCATTGGCTCACCTCACTTCGCTTCAGGGCAACACAGCGACCATGTGCTTGGGAATATGCTGCAATCTTCTGTTGTATGCTGCGCCCTGGTGGGTCTCCAAATTTCACATAGCCTGAGTAGGCATCCTCATCCAAGGCCACACCAAATTCGAAATGGCACCGCAAACAGGCTAGACACAAAATAGCCTTGCTCAGAAGTTCTGCTTTCGACCAACTGTCCGTGTAGAAATCGACAAGCCATACACAGGTTTCCTTCAAGTTCTCGAGCTCAAAGTTGGCCACGTAACCCAGTTGCTCCTTATCATATTGGTACAGTGCCGAAAATCCATTTGCCAGATCCTGCACCACTGAAGTTTCCACTGTAGTGTCATGCATGGAGACGACAGGGAGCATGATACCTAAAAGGACAGAACTGCACGGGCACCTGATGTTTTGAACCAAACCTATAGTATATGAATATATGGAGACCATAACTATATTCGGCGGGCGACCGCCAAACGTTTGACAAACACAAAACATATAGTATATGAATATATGGAAACCATGAACTATTCGGCGGGCGACCGCCAAACGGTTGACAAATCTGCAAGACTTGAACTTCCATAGAATACAAATGTGACTTGCCACAGTTCAAGAGAGAGAAGGTGGCGCACTAGAATCTACACGCATTTGTATTCCCACTCTTTACCCCTCCGTTTGAGCACAGGCTTCATTGTAATTAGACACCTTGCGTGATCTGGGACATGCCAGGTCACCGAAGCAAGAACCCCTATCTCAAAGCCACTCAGTCATGGTCACCCGTTCTTGGCTGCCCGCTTTGCCAAGTTGATGGACTTGATCACGTTGTTCATGGACTTGATCTCGGCAGCCAATGCCTTGTCCGAAGTGATTTCAATCTCAGACAAGGCAACTGTTTTTCCAGAGCCGACTTTCTTCAGGATGTCTTGGGCCTGTGACACCACAGTCTCAGCCAGGCTCAGCTTCTCCTCCATTTGCTCCAGGGTTGCCGCGTCAGCATCGCCCTCGTTCAGACCCTTCTTGGCCTTCTGCATCCTGTCCAACACAGGCTGCAAGCATGTCAGGGCCTTGCTAGCCAAAGTGGTGGCAACCTTGGTGTTTTTTGCTGCCTCTGCACTGGCCTTCTTTGCTGCTTTTGCAGCTTCCCTTTTCTTCAGAGCCGCAAGCTGCTTCTCAGTCAAACCTTTCCCACCAACGACTTCCACCTCGTCTTCGCTCTCCAGATCTACCAGATCCACGAGGTCCTGGTCGACAGGAACCTCTTCGGCTGGCTCCTCTGGCTCATTGCCTTTGTTTCTTTTGTTGGACTTGGCCTTGGCCTTGGGGATCCGCTTGCGCTTGGCAGCCTTGTCAACCAATTGGAGGGCCTCCTCGACCTTCTGAAAGATGGTGTCGGTGGACACGTGAAATATGTCCACACGATATGTGCGGCCTAGCACTGGATGCTCCATGGACTCTGCAAGGGCCTCGATCTTGGTCACGTCGTAGCCACGCTGCTGCCAATAGCCAAGGGGATGGAACTCTCCGTTGAAGCCTCGCTTCGTCTCCTCCATGTGACGGTGAACAAGGCAGGCCTTCATCTCGGCGCGCAAAAGCTGAAAACGCAAAGGACCATCGCCTTTCTTCTCCAACATGGCCTTGTAGAAGTTGACGCTTTCCTCGTGGGAGAGCGTGTC